ACCATTCTGAGGGGAAGTGGAACAGGAAAACACTGGTGAGTTCTCCAGTTTAGTCTACTGCTCAGACTATCCACACTAAGTGATTTTAAAGGTTTGGTTGTTACTTTCATTTTTTGTTCTTGTCTTAACTGACTACCTTGACATCTGGCAGCTCAGCTTTCTCCTGCTCAGCTGAGCTTCTGACAAATTGGTGTAGCAGGCAGGGTCATCGGTGGACTCAATAGTTAATTTTGTGTCGTCTTGCCCGGGCTATGGGGTGCCCAGCTATTTGCTCCAACGTTATTGCGGTTATTGTGGATGAGAGTGGGGAGGTGTTTCTGGATGAGATTAAGATTTGAATCAGTGGAGCAAGTAAAGCGGATTGCCCTCCCATTGTGGGTGGGCCACATCCAAACTGCTGAAGGGCTGAAGAGGACAAAAAAGACTGAGTAAAGAAGAATTCAACCCCTCTGCCTGACTGTTGTTGACCTGGGCCATTGGTAGTCTACTGGCTTCAGGCTATACCATTGGCTCTCTTGGGTCTCTAGCCTGCCAACTGCAGATCTTCTTAGACTCCAGAATCTTGTGATCTAATTCCTTATAATAAATCTCTTTATTATGAGAGGGAGGGAGGGAGAGAGAGAGAAAGAGAGAGAGAGAGAGAGAGAGAGAGAGAGAGACTATATATTACCTATCCATATATCTATGTGTCTATATATATATATACCAAACAAAATGATTGATTGCTAGGTCATTTGTCATTTTTAATTTTTTTGCCAGGGCTAGATGTCATGGCATCAACCTAGCTCACTGCAAAACCTCAAACTCCTGGGCTCAAGTGATCCTTCTGCCTCAGCCTCCCAAGTAGCTGGGACTGCAGTTGTGCACCACAATGCCCAGATAATTTTTCTATTTTTAGTAGAGACGGGGTCTTGCTCTTGCTCGGGCTGGTCTTGAACTCCTGAACTCAAGCAATCCTTCCCTCTCGGCCTTCCAGAGTGCTAGAATTGTGGCTGTGAGCCACCATGCCTGGCCCATTTTTAATTTTTTAAGGAACCTCCACACTGTTTTCCATAATGGCTCCATGAACAGTGTTTAAGGGTTTCCTTTTCTCCTGACCCTCATCAATACTTATCTCTTGGGGTTTTTTTAAATAATGGGCACATAATAATTGTATACATATATGGGATACAACGTGATGTTTCAACACATGTATAAATTTTTTAATGATCAAATCGGGGCACTAGCATATCCATTAGCTTAAACATTTATTATTTTTTGTGATGAGGACATTCAAAATCTTCTCTTCTTGCTATTTTGAAATATATAATGCATTATTGTTCACTCTAGTCATAGCCAAATTGAATAAAAGATCTAAATGTAAGATCTGAAATTATAGAACTCTTGGAAGAAAACAAGGGGAAAGCTCCCTGATATTGGTTTTGCTAATGGTTATTATTATTATTATTTTTGGATATCAAAGCAAAAGCTCAAATAACAAGAGGAAAAATAAACAAGTGAGACTATGTCAAACTAAAAAGCTTCCCCACAACAAAATGGAAAGGTAGCCTATGGATTGGGAGAAAACATCTGTAAACCTTCTGATAATCTGATGAGGATTAAAATCCAAAATATATATAAGGGACTCACACAACTCAATATTAAAAACAGAAAAGCACAAAAACAACCCAAAACCAATTAAAAAACAGCCAAAGGACCTGAGATGACATTCCTCCGAAGAAGACATAAAAATAGCCAACAGATATATGAAGGCATGGCCAATGAACATCATTAGTCTGCCAGGAAATGCAAATTAAAACAATAAAGAGACATTACCTCACACCTGACCGGATAGCTATCATCAAAAGTTACATGTTTTCTGTGGCTCACAACTGGAAACTCCCCAAATGTCCAGCATCAGATCAAAGGATAAATATAGTTTGGTATATTCACAGAGCAAAATGTTACACAGAAATGCACACGTGCTACCTACAACTTCATGCATCTCTAAACATCTGTCCAGTGTCGTCTTTGTCAAGAACAGACTATATACCAGTTTCCATTAGCTGCTGTCCATGTGGGACAGAAGAACAATTTAAAATATTTTAAATGGGAAATGTATTCTGGACCATGGGACTAACCTAGATTGATATGCAGTCACTATTTGTTGAAGTTGATGACATTTTTACAGTGTCAACTTGAGTCTGAGTGTTTTATTTGTTCTCTAGTTCAAGTATTGAGATTTTTTTTTTTTTTTAGATAGAGTCTTGCTCTGTGGCCCCTGGTAGAGTGCAGTGGCATCGTCATAGCACTTTGCAACCCCAGACTCCTAGGCTCAAGTGATCCTCCTGCCTCAGCCTTCTGAGTAGCTGGGACTACAGGCATGCGCCACCATGCCCGGATAATTTTTCTATTTTTTGGTAGTGATCCTCCCAAAATGCTGGGATTACAGGCGTGAGCCACCCATCCTTGGCCTGGATCTGATCTTTATTTGAAACATTTTTTTACAATGTATTCATCATGGATTTCTTTTTCTTGCATTAATTTTTTGATTTTCAAAAAAATATTGCATGCGAATATTAGTCTTGATAATGGAGCTTTAAGATGACCCCTTGAAATTTGCACCTGAGGTACAAAATGCTATTACTCATAATAATAAAAGCCTTGAGTTTCAGCAGGGTCCTCGGCTACTCAGACTGAAGACTACATTTCCCAGACTCCCCTGCCTGAGTCATGTGACCCAGTGTTGCCATGTGACTGAGCCCTCTGCCAATGGGTTGTGAGTGAAATTGATTACTTCTCTTAAAGGGAAAGACAGCACATGGCTTTCACTTTTTCACCTTCTAGGTGCCACAAACTTGACCATCTTGTACTATGTAGACAAGGGCGTTACACTCGACGTGTCACAGGCACAAGAGAGAGAGAATCTGGGCTCCTGAAGACTCTACAGAGTGCAGATGACATACCAGCCCAGACTTTCATGTAGGAGAACAGAGTATATTGTCGCTTTAGTTTGCACCCAACTGCTCCCAGTCTGGGGAAGCTCTGGGCTGCAGGGTCTCGGTCCCTTTCTTGTTTAGAGCTCTGGCAATGATAACACCAAGTGTGGCAACTTGAGGTTAACCACAGCAAAGAGAAAGAGGAGAAGCAGGTGCACAAAGCTGTACAGGGAGGAAGCCTGAGCGGGCACCTTCAAGCCGTCCTCAGCTCCCGGGGGCATGGAAGGGAGGCAGAAGTTTCTAAGGGTCTCGTGGGGGAAGAAGACTGCGCAAAATCAGCCTACCGGGCTTGAGGCTTCCCCGAGAGGGGAGAGTGATCGTACTTCCTGTGCCCCAATCTCCTCCGCTTTCTGCCCTGCTCCGAGCCCCCTGGCTTAGAGGAAGAGCCATAGTGAGAGAGGTAGGAAGTGAGTTGGCAAGGGCAGGGGACCTCTTGTCCCACAGCCTCAGCTGTAGGGTCCGCAGAAAGGGGAAGTCCTGGCTTCCGAAGACTTCCTCCTCCAAAATGAAAAAAGGATGCCCCCAACCTGCAGCAGAACCACACAGACTAGAGCCCTGCTCAGGTCACCAGAGGAGTCAGGTGGCTGAGTCCAGGTTCTTCAAGTAGACGAGGCAAATCTCCATTGCAACCCAGACACCTGCTCCCCAAAAGCTCCTTGCTGGGAGAATTAAGCTGGCAGACACCCTCCCTCAGCCTGCTGCTATGGACAATCGAAATATTAATAACAGCACCACCCACTTCATTTCCCCAGACCTAGAGTTTAGGGGCTTCCGGGAAAGAAATTCCTTTAGTGGTGGGGATTCCAGGAGCATATGCTGATTACCTGGGTCCCAAAGATCGTGGCTGTCTGTGACTTCTCCCTCTTTCACATGTCTGCTACCCAGCCCCGCAAATACTGTGGGCTCAAGCTCTGGAATCTCTCCTGCTTCCTCATCTTTTTGTTAGGCCCCCAGCCTCGGCCCATCCGATGCAGGGCCCTGCAGCACGACCTCATGGTCACCTAATGACATGTGCAAAGGCCCTGTTTCCAAACGAGGTCGCCTTCTGAGGTTCGGAGTGGACTCGGGTTAGAGCAGGAGCCCTGTTCAAGAATGCAGGGAGGAGAAGGCTGAAGCGCTATGGCAGTTGTTTTTAGAGAGCCAACTGCATCCGCGAAGATAGTGCATCACTTCCACTCTCCTGCCCTGGGGCAGGGCAGTCACCTGGCCCCACCTGACTGCCAGGGAGGTCGGGGGACATGGAGAGGAACGTGTGGATATTTGGGGAGCGCTCCCAATTCCTGCCTGCTTGCTGTATTTTTAGTCCCTAATAGATGCTCAATAAAGGTTTGTTGGCAGGGCGCGGTGGCTCACGCCTGTAATCGTAGCTCTCTGGGAGGCCGAGGCGGGCGGATTGCTCGAGGTCAGGAGTTCGAAACCAGCCTGAGCAAGAGCGAGACCCCGTCTCTACTATAAAATAGAAAGAAATTAACTGGCCAACTAATATATATAGAAAAAATTATCCGGGCATGGTGGCGCATGCCTGTAGTCCCAGCTACTTGGGAGGCTGAGACAGGAGGATTGCTTGAGCCAGGAGTTTGAGGTTGCTGTGAGCTAGGCTGATGCCACAGCACTCACTCTAGCCTGGGCAACAAAGTGAGACTCTGTCTCAAAAAAAAAAAAAAAAAAAAAGGTTTGTTGATTGAATGGATGAATGAATGAATGAACGAACCAGCACCAGGAAGAGGAGGGGAGGAGACAAATGGAAAGATCTGGACATCCCCTGCGTGAGGGGCAGGGTGGGGCAGGCACCTCCCAGGCCCACCCCGCGGCTGCCCCGCCCCAGCTGGGGACACTGCGAGAGGGGATTTCCCTGGGCAGAGAGCTGCTGGAATCCGTCCCCCACCCGGCCGGCCGGACATCCCCAAAGAAGGGCGGTCTGGTGCCCAGCAGGTTGCAACCGGCAGATGCTGGAGCGCACTCTGAGAGGGTGACGTTGCCTTCTCTCTTCTGGGCAGCCCCGCGCGCCCGGCCCCGCCTGCCCCGGCTGGAGCCGCCAGCGATGCCGGAGGACGGCGCGGGCTGCTCCGTGCGCCGCCTGCACTGGCCGTGGGGCGCCAAGGCGGTCCTGGCCCTGCTCTGTCTCGTGATGGTGCCCTGCTCCGTCTACCTGATCCTCCCAACGCGCGGCCAGCAGCAGCAGCTCGAGCCACCTGGGGTGAGTCGAGAAGGAGGGGCGGCCAGGCGGGGTGCACTCCTGCCACCCGCTCGCCCAGCATGGGGACCTCCGGGCTGGGGAACCGCGCAGAGGCGCAGAGGCGGGGGACAGGGGGGGACGGTGCGCAAGAGCGCAGACTGACAGCACCGGAATGAGATGGGTTTAAAAAGGAGAGACAGCGAGAGAAAGAAAGGGAGGAAGGGAAGGAAGGAAGGAAAAAGAAAATAAATGAGCCGGGCGTGGTGGTGGCACCTGTAGTCCCAGCTATTGCGGAGGCTGAGGCTGGAGGATCTCTGGAGCCCAGGAGGTGGAGAGGCTGCAGGGAGCTACGATCGCCCCACTGCACTCCGGGCTGGGCGACACAAAGAGATCCTGCCTCTTAAAAAGAGAAAGAAAGACCAGCCAGGGCGACGAGCTGGTGGCGCAGAGAGAGAGAGAGACCCGCGCGGAGGCCAGGCCGGGCAGGACGGCCCGGGGCGAGCGGGGCATCCCGGGGGGAAAGGTGCACCCGACGTGGCGCGGAAGGTGACAGGCTGGTGCTTCCCGGCGGGCTGACTCAGAGGCTGCGGGGGCTTCACGACGCGGGGGGCGGGGGCTTCCTGGCCGGGCGCGCCGCGCCGGAGTCCCTGCGGCCCGCGGGCTGGGGGCCGCGCGCGGCCTGCGGTTCGCCCGCTCCGGTGATGTCCAGGAAAACCAGGAAGTTCTTCTTCGACGCTCCCCGGCTGGGCCAGACCTAACTTCCCCTTGAAGAAACCTTTTTTTTTTTCTTTCTTTTTAATCGCAAATCCGGGAATGGGACGAGGGCTGAGTACGAGGGTGGGCGGAGAAGAGAGACACCCCGACTCCGCACCCCGGTCACCCGCTGACTTGGGGGACACTTAGAACCTGCGTGGTTAAGTCCTTGCTCTGTTTTCTGGTCTTTTCTTCCAGTGGGACATAGCCGAGCTGCAGCTGAACCACGCAGGTAACCTGGGGCTCGCGCGGGGGCGGGGACGGGGACAGAGACAGACAGAGACAGAGACAGAGACAGAGACAGAAAGGGAGGGACAGAGAGAGAAGGGAGGGGAGGCAGCACGTGCCAGAGAAAGGGGACAGAGCAAGAAAGAGGAGGAACGCGGGCAGGTGCGGCCCCACGGCTGTCCCCTCTCGGTCCTTCCCGCACCGTCCTCCGCGCGCGCGACCTCGAACCCGAGCGTGGAGGGGCGCGCACAGAAGTGGCCGAACGGACCGCACCCCTCCCTCTGGCGCTCCCCTCGTGCTGTCTCGGGGAGATAAAAATAAATAAGTGAACGAGCGAGACCTGTCAGCAGCACCAAGCAGAGGCCAAGAGTGCGTTCTGGAGAGAAATTAAACACGGTGGGGGCGGGGCTGCGACCCAGGCACGCCAGGGCGGGTCAGTGGGAGCCGTGGGGGAGGGGAACGGGTGCCTGGGGGTGACGGGGAGCGA